AACAGAAGATATAGATCCGGTACAAATTCTGGGTAAATCATTCGACTCTGTCGGTATTTCATTTCAGACATTTGTCAAATTGTTGTATAACACCTGCAGGCAACTCCAAAATATTCTAATAACCTAAAGACAACATGGACGATGCCATGATTGTACACAACCACCCGCCATATTGGGCAAACATTTATTCCTCTATTTAATATTATATAATTATGTTTCAGTTCGAAATTACAGATATACAGTGATAAACATTAGTGTAATTGTGTCTAAATATAGGATTTGTGGCAGATTTAACGCAGATAAGTTCAGTTTTCCATCTTAAAAATCTAGACATACTTTTGATCATTGTCAAAATATGAATCAAATACGAAGCCCGTAGAAATTAGGTAACTAATTTGCACGATAATCACAATAAAATTTGCTGCGCAAGTAATTCAATAGCCCTATATCAAAGTGTAGAAGTTTATCTTCATACCTGTGTATGAAATCCACAATGGCCGATATGTAAGTAAACAAGATGACTGTAATGTGTTAGTTATATATTCTTCACTTCGTCTATACAATACATAGGAAATAGTTTGGCTGCAATAAAGTAGAATCACGTAAGAGAATAGTTGTATAGTTGACAAAAACTGAATCTTGCACTGACGCAAATGTCCTATAGCGGCTGCAAGAGGCTTACACTTTTGTTTTTTATAAAACAAAACAATTATTTGTTACCTGCAGCCCTTATACAACCTCTTAAATGACAGAAGTGTCCTATTAGGTGTACCCATTCCGCTTGTATAGCTGTTCTAAGAGGGTTTTGCTAATGTTCTTACAGTATACAATGCTGTTTAAGGAATACTGTATAACCATTCTTGCAACTCTAATAGGAGTGATAATTATTGTTAGTTGGGTAATTTTTCCGCAATATTGCAACACCGCCGCTACAACAATCCTGCAAGAGTTCTACTTCGGCGAATCGGGCGCATCGAGACCTTTCTGTGAATGCACTGGAAAGAACGAGAATAACGTCTGCAAATATAAAAACATCGCAGTCACAGAAGTGCGAGTACCATCAAACGCGCTTAGATAGTTGGTTAAAAACGGGCAGTTTTATGAACTCTGATGAAAATCCAGATGAACAAAACAACTACAGCTTCTTCTTCGGTTCCCGATCTGGATCCAACACAGGGTGGCGATATTGAAAGTTATAGTGAGGTACCTTCTTTCCGGAATAGAAGTAATGAGAAAATAGACAAGCATGGTGAAGGTAACGGAAAGAAACGAAAATACGACACTGACTATTTGCAAATGGGATTTTATTTCACCGGGGAAGAGGCAGAACCTAAACCGCTTTGTGTAATTTGTAATGAACCTTGAGACAAGACATCCGGATTACAAGGATAAACCTATTGGATATTTTAAAAGGAAATTTTAAGGTAATAAGAATTGTACTGTAAGATTTGGAAAAGCTCATACAGTGGCAGAACATTTGATCGGACCTTATGCTAAAGAGATCGCAATGTGTATGCTTGGAGAAAAAGTGGCAAAAAAAGTTGACCTTGTACCCTCATCAAACAGCATAGTTGTCACGGAAAATCAACGATTTGGCAAACAGTGTTGAAAGTGAACTTTTGTTAAAAGAATAAAATTGAATTTTTTGCTATTCAGCTTGACGAGTCGACCAATGTAGCAAACTGAAATATTGCTCGTGTATGTTAGATATATTTTTAAGAATCCCATTCAAGAAGACGTGTTATTTGCAAAACCACTGGAAGCTTATTCGACTGGTGTAGCAATTTTTAATCTGATCAATGACTATTTTGAAAAACATGAAAACAACTGGTCATTTTGCTAAGGTGTATGTACAGATGGTGCAAAATTAATGACTGGGGCATATTCTGGCCTTGTGGCACGAACAAAGAAGATCAACGAGAATATAAACTGGACTGACTGCTGTATTCATAGGCAAGCATTGGCATATAAGCGTATTCCTGCAGAGCTAGCCAGTACTTTAAGCGAAGCTGTAAAAGTTGCTACAAAGTGCTACAAATTTTTGTCTATTCCGTGAACGTTGTGAGGACTTGGGAAGTTTTCACGCTTCTTTATTACTTCATACAGAAGTTAGGTGGCGTTCTCGAGGCAAAGTTTTGACCTGCTTGTTTGAAGTGAGGTGTGAAGTTCAGGCATTTTTTCTTGACCATTTCATTTGTCCGCTTCTGTATCCGACATTCTGTGGCTCCAAAAACTTGCATAATTAGCCGATATTTTTTTTTGTTTAATTAAATGAACTAAATATATCTTTACAAGGTCTAGGAATCACCATTTTCAATATTCATGATAAAATAGAAGCAATGCTAAGGAAGGTCAACTTTTGGAATCAATGTCTGTACGATTGTTTTGGTTCTCTCAGCAGATTTTTATCAGAGAATAAAAGTCAACTTAACGACAACATTAAAAGAGATATTACTGAACATCTCAAACAGCTTCAATCAACCTTCAAAGGGTATTTTCCTAATAAAACTGTATCAACTAACTGGATACGCAATCCTTTTGAAGGAGATATAATTTCTAAGCGGAAAAGAGCCATGAAAGTTTTGTCACCGTTCTGCACAACGTATCTATGTGAGAAAGGATTTTCAACATACACTTACAGGACTTACAAATTTTTAATTTCTTTGTTCCAACAAACAGGCACAAATATCCCATAGACGATTTTTGCAAGTATCGAATTACTTTTAACGAGATACTCGTATATATATACAGGGTGACTTCGAAGTTGAGTCATTTATTTTAACAGTGAGTAGATCTGATCAAAAGAAATGTTTTTTTCCTTTAACATTTTTCTGGTAAAATTAAAGTAACAAAGTTATAGCCCTTTGGAAGTTTGGGTACCGCCCTGTCTCAATAATAATATTATGTGCTCGTGTTTGGCAACAACGTATATAATCCGCCTTCATCGCATCGGAAACAAAAAAGCGAAAGAATTTGAAACGCTGATCACGATGTTTTTATTCAGTCAATGTGTCAGTCCGTAACGCGTGAGTGAATAGTGGTGTTTGCTGCGTGGCTCAAACGAAATAAAAAATGGCACATGTTTATGCGGATCGGTTTCATAATCGAGTGCAACCAACCCCTCGTGCCTTTGTTAATGTAGTACAACGGGCTCGTGAATCAGGTGACTTAAGACCTCACAGGGGAGGGCATGCCGGTGCTCCAAGACCTCACGATCAAATACAGGTCCGCACTGAAATACTTGTCGGGCGGATCCTTTATAAAACAAGGTAAAAAAAATTTTTTAATTTTTTTTATTTTTACACACATATTTTGGTTTATCTTCCTTCTACAATCATTATCTGAAAAATTAATGACTCAACTTCAAAGTCACCCTGTATATATATGAGGCGTCAAGTTACAAAACCCGCCTTATCCCACAAACTTGGTTTCGAGATAATAAACAAAAACTGTTTTACCCAAAGTTACAAGCGGTATCTAAAAAAATATAAGTCCATTGTGTGGAGTTGTAATTTTGCATCTATTTTGTCCAGAAATAATCGTATTTTTTTCATTTTTCAATGAAAAGGTAAACAAAATAAATTGACTAAAGCGGGTTGTGTTGCAGTAAAATGTATATTGCGTCTCAGTTATCGCAATAGGAGTATCCTTTGAATTGACAGCAGGAAATACGGTGTATTGTATCGTTTTGCAATCTCAATGAATCATGCAACTACTTCACATCTTGTTTCACTAGATAACCCCGATATTATTGATACCTCACGTGGTCAAATTCAAGAGGATAAAATCATTTTTTTTTCGATTTCTAATGATTTCTTAAAAAAGTAATTAAACCTGTACTTATGTTGAAAAAAGAATGAGAAAAACCTTCATGTGTTATCACAAGACTTAAAACTGTGAGTGAAAGAACCAATTTGTTCCAAAAACGTAAAAAAATTCGAAAACCGTGCAACTTTTATTAGTCACAATTTTAATATTAAAACATTATTATCAATGTCTCAATAGCCATTTGTATTATTATACAGGGTGACTTCGAAGTTGAGTCATTTATTTTAACAGTGAAAAGATCTGATCAAAAGAAATGTTTTTTCCTTTAACATTTTTGTGGTAAAATTAAAGTAACAAAGTTATAGCCCTTTAGAAGTTTGAGTACCACCCTGTCTCAATAATAATATTATGTGCTCGTGTTTAGCAACAACGTATATAATCCGCCTTATCGGTTCATCGCATCGGAAACAAAAAAGCGAAAGAATTTGAAACGCTGATCACGATGTTTTTATTCAGTCAATGTGTCAGTCGGTAACGCGTGAGTGAATAGTGGTGTTTGCTGCGTGGCTCAAACGAAATAAAAAATGGCACATGTTTATGCGGATCGGTTTCCCAATCGAGTGCAACCAACCCCTCGTGCCTTTGTTAATGTAGTACAACGGGCTCGTGAATCAGGTGACTTAAGACCTCACAGGGGAGGGCATGCCGGTGCTCCAAGACCTCACGATCAAATACAGGTCCGCACTGAAATACTTGTTGGGAGGATACTTTATAAAACAAGGTAACATTTTTTTTTATTTTTTTTTATTTTTTCACACATATTTTGGTTTATCTTCCTTCTACAATCATTACCTGAAATTAATGACTCAACTTCAAAGTTCTTCAATTGTTTAAATTTGTTTGTTTTTTTTTTTGCTCTAGCAGCTGCTTCTTTAAGGTGCAAGCTGATGTAGCCCTTTATTCTCTTAAGGTTTTTTTTGTTTGTAAACTTTGTATATACGGTTTAATGGGAGTAATAAATATTATTAATATTATTATTATTATTAATCACAATGGAAGTGTATCAACGGATTTTTCTGCAGTCATACATATTTACGCTCATTAAACAGGATGCATTTTGTGGCTGTATTTATGAAGATTCAAGGTTTATTAACTATCTAAATTTATTTTGAAAAATGGATAAGCCGGGTTTTGCAACTTGACGCCTCTATGTACTAATACTTATGACGTACCTTTTTGGAAGTGATGTCCCACGGCAAGTAGCTGAACTGCATCGCTGGCATGAAAGTATTCGCTTGAGTCCATCGAACAATCAGCTCAGCATCGGGCAAATCTGTGTAGCCGTTACCGCCTATCATATCAGGCAGCACCCTGAAAATATAATGTGGGAATCAATATTGATCTTCTACGGGAAGGTGACCGCTGACAAAATATTACTGGGTCATTTTTTTCAATAACTATTTTGTTCAAGTGGGAGAGAAACCGGCAACTAAAATAAATATACCTAACACCAATATTCCATCTAAAGTAATCATCTGCCTTGAACCAGTTACAGAAAATGAAACAGAATATACCATTTGCAGCCTAAAAAATAAAAAGAGTCCAGGTTTATATGGCATACGGTCAGAGGTACTCTACTTGCACCTGAAATTAGGAAGCCGCTAACATTTTTAACAAATTTAATAATTTAATCTGGGGTTTTCCCAGACCCTTACAAAATAGGAATAATAACACCGATTCATAAATCTGGCGACATATCAAATACCAGCAACTATAGACCAGTAACATTAATATCTAATTTGACAAAGATAGTTGAAAAAATCATAAAGGCTAGGCTCATTAGATTTTTCAACAAAAATACATGAAAATTAATTTGGATTTCAAAAAAATAAATCCTCTCAAGACGCGCTTTCCTTGTTGACTTCAAAAATTCATAAATTATTAGAGCAAAGTAAATATACATTATGCATATTCTTAGATCTAGCAAAAGCGTTCGAGACGGTGGATTACTCGCTACTATTATAAACTTTATACGATGCAGGAATTAGAAGAAACGCTCAAAACCTTATGAGGAGTTACCTGTTTTACAGAAAGCAATATGTTCAAATAAATGGTTCCTCAAGTTCAGAAAAAACTATGACTTACGGTGTACCACAAGGGACAGTTTTAGGCCCGTTATTTTTGACTGTGGGTATCAATAGCATACTTAGCTTGAAGTCGCAAGGCACAATAATATGTTTTGCAGATGACACAGCGATACTTTATTCTAATAACAATTCCTGGGATAATCTTAAAGAGACTGTTGAAAATGACATTATTTTAATTTCAGATTGGTTTAGATACAAATATCTAACAATCAATTTTCAGAAAACCAAGAATATTACGTTCACAAACCTTAAAAATAAATTACCGTTATTCACCTCTTTACAAATTAAATGTTACAATACAATTACATTAATACATTCAGGTGATAAAACAAAATATTTAGGTGTTCATTTGAATCCTCATTTAAAGTCGAATTTCCATGTTGATCATATAGTAACTAATTTAAGACGATTATTATTTAAGACCATGAAACAATGAAGATGTTATATCATGCACTTATTGAATGTCGCCTAAATTAAGCCATACTAGCTTGAGGTGGTACTCTCACCAACCAAATTAAGAATCTAGAAGTAATACAAAAACAATTTTTTTAAATTATTTTTAAACGGCCAATTCTATATCCATCTGATATGTTATACTCCGAAGCGAGACTACTCTATCTTAGGCAACCCTTTTTTCAAAATGTTTTGACCAATTTATTCAAGAATAAAAGAAACCGCATTCCATTGGACCACAAATATGAAACAGGAAGTAAAGTCGAGGATATTAAAAGAACACCATTTACAACAAAAAATGTAGGTCAAAGATGCTTCAGTTACCTCTCCACTAGATTTTATAACTTACCAAGCCATATAAAATCCATTTCAAATAAAAATAGATTCGAAATTGAAATAAAAAAGTTCTTGTTAAATAAGTAATAATCGACATGAAATAGAAAAACTCACTAAAATGAAAATAAATTTCTATTTGAATATAATATTATTACACTTACCGTTATGGTTATGTTGTGTTTAAATTTATGTATTAACTATATTTAACTATGTTTAAAAAAAATTGTTATGAAAAATGTTTTTCCACGCACAAGAATTAAATTCTTTTGTGGGATTATTTCAGTTTACTTGCGTATATATGCATATTTATTTTCAATAAACTGTAATACTTTATACGTGAATAAACTTATATTATTATTATTGCTGTTGTTATCATTATTGGCAGAGAACGTTGATTTGTAATAGAGAATACCTTGAAAAATAAATTTAAAGGTCTTTTTATGTTCTGAAATCTCCAGTTTACCGATTATTTTTAAAATTCAATTTGAAAATTATACAAGCAAAATACTGAATTTTGAGTTTTTCCCATTGTTTATAAACAACGCATATCTGGATGTATCTTTTTATTCGTTTTTCCATTAGAAAGAGCCCTGTTTCATTCAAAACGTTTAGGCCGTTGAACAAAATTGTTTATCTGCGACAACAAGTCCATTTAAACGACTTTACCATTTAGCAATTTATGCAGAAGCAAGCCTGATGTCTGCCTTTCTAAAGTTTGGTGTATCGTACATCAATAATTTTGAGATCCACGTATTCAATTGCAGATAGCTTTCAAGACAACCACAAGTTGTGATTTAGGGGTAACACGGTCGCCTAAGCATGTGATAGACAGATCGTCCGCAAGGCATCGGTGGCCGCAGTAGTAGACTCTTCGGTCTCTTGATCAGTCGCCGTGCGCGCTGGCTATGGATGTTGTGATTGTCCGTAGGTGGTAGACGGTCTCTGACTGTCGAACGCGGAGGTACCACCCGGCGGATCTCGTAGGCGGAGCCAGAATGTGTGCATGTTGCATGCACACGTGTTCCCTCGCCAGAGTCCGTGTGGCGTTCCCCCTTTCCCCTGTATCCCCCTATAGCCCCACGGTACCCAATGGGTGTTTAGGCCTTAGGCCTTCGTGGTAGCTGGAGTATTAAAAAATGTATCTGCTAATCTTTTTTGCACAATTTTTTTTACTCTGTAGCCTGGGCTAGTGTTCCCTGGCATAGCAGACCGTTAGGTCCAATTTTACTAGCAGGAGATCAGAAAGCTTGATCCGAATCAAAATGACCACCAAACGATGAGGCATCTTTCTAGTAATGGATCTAATGAATATAGTCGTTTTTTTCTAAAATATCTCTCAAACTAGCGATCTTGAAAGGCGTATCCCTTGTAGGTACATTGTCTTGTTGGAGATAAACGTTTTCATCCTCCAAAGATCCTTAAATGCGTATATTCGGTGATTCCGATTTCAGCTGCGCTATAAGAGACGCTGCAGCTACTCAACCCGGAAAAAGGACCGTAAAGATTGGATGAGGTTGATTACTTTGTACGTTGATTTGATCTGACGATGCGACGCTCGATTCTCTTATGATGAATAGTGATACATTGAAGACAAAGTTTATAAAACGAAACCTACAATAGCGGAATAACTACGCTCTTTCTAAAGATAATACTGATAGAGGTCGCTTGACTTGCAGCTTCATTGCTTTTTGTTGCCAACAATTCATAGATAAAAAAGCCTTTCTCTCCCCATACGCCATAGGTGTTTTGTCTGTTAGAATGTACTCATTTTAGAACCAAAGTACATCACTTAAAATATATTTGACTCAAGGGTTTACTGAAATTTTATGGAACGTGAATGGAAACGTCTCCCTTTAGTAAATGCTAATGCAAAATTTATTTTATAGGCATCACGATAGGAAAGAAACAATTCCCTATAGGTTAAGTGGGTATCATAGTGCAATTTTGAAAAATAAAAAAAAATTCTGCAGAACGAATGAACGCTTATTTTATAATGGGTGATTTTTTTGCTAGTATCTTTTTGGCAACACTGTTTTTGACAGATGACGCGTGAATCGTGTCTTGTGTCATTGTCAAACTTGTTCAGTTTGGTCTATAATTTAACCATGAATCGACTTACGAACGAACAACGCTTGCAAATTATTGAATTTTACTATCAAAATTCATGCTCGGTTAAGAGAGTGCATCGAGCACTGCTTCCTATTTATGGGCAATTTGCTCGACCTACTAAGGGAGCTATTCGGAAGCTTGTGACTAAATTTCGAACCCAGTTTACATTATTGGACATGAAACCACCAACACGCAGACGTAGAGTGAGGACTGAAGACAATATTGCGGCTGTATCCGCCAGTGTTAGTGATGACTGTGAAATTTCGATTCGCCGCCGTTCGCAGCAATTGGGCCTCTGTTACTCCACTACGTGGAAAATTTTGCGACAGGATTTGGATGTAAAACCTTATAAGATACAGCTGGTGCAAGAATTGAAGCCACACGACCTCCCACAACGCTTCCAATTTGGTGAATGGGCCCTGGCAAAGATTGAGGAAGATCCTCGTTTTTATCGAAAAATTGTGTTCAGCGACGAAGCTCATTTCTGGTTGAATGGGTACGTTAACAAGCAAAATTACCACATCCGGAGTAAAGACCAGCCAGAAGCATTGCAAGAGCTACCAATGCATCCCGAAAAAATCACTGTATGATGTGGATTATGGGCCTGTGGCATCATCGGGCCGTACTTCTTCAAAGACGACAATGGCCGGAACGTAACTATGAATGGCGAGCGCTACCGTGCGATGATAACAAACTTTTTTTTGGCCAAAATGGAAGAGCTGGACTTGGCTGACACGTGGTTTCAACAAGACGGTGCCACATGCCACACCGCACACGAAACAATGGCCCTATTGAGGGGCGAGTTCGGTGAACAGTTTATCTCACGTTTGGGGCCCGTCAATTGGCCGCCTAGATCGTGTGATTTAACGCCGTTGGACTATTTCTTGTGGGGCCATGTTAAGGCTAATGTCTACAGGGATAAACCAGCAACGATTGATGCACTGGAAGCCAATATTGAAGCGTTTATTCGTGAGATACCGGCCGATATGTTGGAGGGAATGTGCTAAAATTGGACCTTGCGCATGGGCCATCTAAAGCGGAGCGGCGGCCAACATTTACATGAAATAATCTTTAAACATTAAAATATATCGACCGTTCTATCGACTCGAATAAAGATTTAATCATTTTTTCTAATTTTCTGTGTTTTTTTTTTTTGAAAATCAAATCCTATACCTCTTAAAAAATCACCCGTAAATGAGATAGTGGAATCAATCGAAGATATGGATCCAAATCTATGTCACATGCAAGTTACTTATAATTGTTCTATGAGACAATTCCAAACAATAAATATCAGGCATCTTTGAAAAGCTATTACAAGATTGAAAT